GAAGAACTATCCTTAGTGAGTCAAGTTCTTGTCCACTTTCCAGCACCAACATTCTCCAGGACAAAGCATTTCTATATCTCTATCTGGAGGTGCACTTAGACATTTTCCCAATGAGGAAAGCACCATGTGAGGGAAAGGTTTGTGTAAGTTAGTGCAGAAAGCACTAATCATCTGGACTGTGCTTCATATCCAGAGAAGCATAATATCATCCAGATTGTTTAGTCAGGTGTCAGTAACCATATGAGAAATAAACATCCTTTTTTAAAAAAATTGTTTCCACTCCTGAACACATAAATACTGAAAAGTCTAACATTTTAATATTTTATGTTTATTTTCTTCATTTTTCCAAATACCATTGAGTGGGTTGGTCAGTTTCCCCTGTTCTCACATGTACATTCGTAACACACTTATGAAGCAGATTAGGCTGAAATAACGGCTCAAGGTTGCCTACAACAGGAATTTGACGCTACAATCCAGCAAAATCTAATACACCACTGACTAAAAACTATTAGTTATAAATCAATACCAGAACTACTTATGGTAACATCACATTAAATAAAAATAGTAATCCTGCTCATGACAGTTTTTTACATTGGTACCTTTGCTATTATTATTTACCAGACAGAATGCATAAATAGTTACTTTCTGCATCTGTTACACACTGACAGCCTGGAGAAAAAAAGGCAGAAACAAGAGAATAAGAAAATTGTTTTTGAAACTATAAGAATGTACTTCTGTTTACCTGAAAGCAATATTTTTTCATGGTATAGGTTTAGAGAAAACTGTGATGTACATTTAAAATATTCTCATGTGGCCTTTAGAAATAAGCATTCTTATCTCATTTCATGTCCTCTCAAGTGCCTTCACTGTGTGTTATTGGTCCTAAAGCTAATACCACTGAAACAGTTTTCAAAGCAAAGTAAAGAAAGAAGACAGTGAAAATTCATGCATAGTTGAAGACTGTGGCCTTCAAAACATAAGTACAGAAGCATAGTGGTTATGTTAGAGGAGCAAACAACTTACTGTTGTGTATACAATGTGAAATCAGGCGATGGTTGAAAAGACAAGCATCTACATGGTTTCACAAGTGAAATCTCAGAATCAGACTAAATGCAAGAGGACAGCCATGTGCTTTTTATTCACATGCCTGCTCACTTCACGCATAACAGCAGGGTGTTGTTTATTTTTTTTTCCATGAAAGGAGCTGAAGCCTCTCACAACTTACCTTGCTGGGGTCCTTTACTTCAAACAGTTTTGTCCCAAACCTGGCTCCCTTCCAGAAACAGAGCCAGCCTATGATAAAAGTACTTTAGGAGTGCAATGTGAAATTAAAGGTGGATTATTTTTGCTCCTCTCATGTATACTTTGTTTCCTCACCCCTGCTTCTTTTATGTGAAGGATAGCACATATACATGCACATGGATGCCCAGGCACATTTATTCTGAACCTAAAATACTTATACCAGTTACTGCAGTCTTTATCTATGACAGGCATCTTGTCATTGAGCTCAGTCCATTTCTGTGGAGTTCCTAATAAAATGATCAGAGACTATTTACAGCAGGAGTTAGGAAGAAACAACTCACTTGACTAGGACTTCCTTCAATGTCAAGACTAAAGGCTTATACAAATATTTGGATGTAGATTTAAGGATATGAGGGGAAACGCAGCAGCCCACCATCATTAATTCTTAATGAAGAAAGTATCAAAGTAAAGCATACCTACTTAAGAATGAATCTTACTGATTCGGGGGCGGGGGCAGATTTCTCAGTAAATGCTTTTTACTTAATACTGTAAATCTCCTTTTAACGCAATTCACGAACTGAACAAATCTGTACAATCCCACTGATTCAACATAGTTCAGCTGTTCTGGAATTTTGCAATGCAAACCACTACAAACTATTTATATTTGACATTTACCATATCAGCTTAGCACTATTCTGAAACTACACAAATGTTTGAAGCACTGCAGTTAAGACTTCTAAAATGTTGAATTATATATATACTTCTGAGAAATACAGCCTTTCCCTATCTTCCAGCTAAGATGGCTGCCAGTGAACTCCTTCCTTGTACCTGTATAAGCTACTTGATATTAAAAGTATCAACCTGTCCAGGTGCAGTTCTGTTCAAAAATAACTCTGTGGTCATGAGGCTCTTAGAGGTTAGTGCTCTTAGAATCCTTTCTAGCTAGGTGTCTACAAAGGTATGTGTTCTTTATAGTTTTTAAATTGTGCTATAAACCACTTCTTTAACATTACTCCTATTTTGGAACTGCAGCCTCCCACAAGTTCAAGGTCAGTTACCAATCCTGTCAATGCAGCACCTTCTCTTTTTAAGACTCATTTCTTCTTCATACTTTGAAATCTAGGCTGGGTGACTGTACAGAAAAGGCTGCACAAATTCCTTATACAGGTGTAAAAAAGCTGAATTCCTAGCTGCATCAATACCAAGTAGAGGCTAGTAAAATCATATCCACGACAAGTCCTAATAGATTGATCTTTAAGTGCTATCATTTAGAAATAAGAGCAATTACCTCCAAGTAAACAGACAACAACTTAGGCCACCTGAATATTATCCATCTCATCATGATGGCTGAAGCATATGCTAGGAAATACGTCATTTCTAATTTGTAATTACTTAAGGCACATCATTAAACGTTAAAATAACGAAGAGATACATATGCTTGGAAGAATTCTCTCCCAAAACACTTTCCTCTCTGTTAAATGCAATCTACCAAAATCAATCTGATTAATAAACTAAAACTCTCACACACCAGAAAACTGATGCTTGCCCCCCACCAAAGTTAAATTTCCATTGTAATTCTAGAGAGCATTATCGTTCATTTTTAGATCCCAGCCCAGATCTTGGCCACCTTTTAACTCAAAGCAGCTCCATTTCCCTAATAGGTCTGAAAACCCAAGGCCTCTGGCAGCTTCCACCAAAGGCAGTCGCCCTTTCCACACCCCCTTTTTTGACAGGAAGAAGCCTGCACTCCTCTTGCCGCCGTCTCAAAATTTTTAACCATTACCATCATCATCATAGGTTCCCCCGGAATTTAAAAAAAAAACAAAACACCCCCAGATGTAGGCCCTTTTCCCCCCTATCACCATCCAAGAGGAAGAGGAGGGGTCAGCCCTGGAGATGAAAGGCGAGTGCCAACCTCCGTCAAGAGAGACCCAACGTGTTTATTCCATGTGTGAGCAAGGCAGCCATTCCAGTTCCAGGCTCACTAAAGAGACTATCCATTTCCTGAGGCTTCCCCCACACCACATACCACCCCCCCCAAAAAAACAAGACTTTTTTGGGGAGCCCCAAGGCATCAAAGCAGGATGACATGCCATTTCCCCCACCCTCAGCTTTTCCACTCCACCTTATTTTAAAAATGTATGTGTGAGAAGGCTCAATTCATTGGGGGAAACTTTTATGCTAGGAAAGGTGGATGGAAGTAGAAAGAGAGGAAGGCCACATGCTGGATAGATGGACTCTGTTAAAAAGGTCATGGGTATAAATTTGCAGGAACTGAGCAGAGCAGTAGAAAACAGGGAGTCTTGGAGATGTCTTACCCACAGGGTCGCCATGGGTTGACACTGACTCAAGGACAGTTAACAACAACTAATGTATGTGTGTGTGTGTGTGTGTGTGTATATATATATATAATGTGTAATATAGTGTGTGTGCATGTGTGTGTGTATATACAGTATGTATGTGTATATATAAAAAGTATGTATGTTTGTATGTGTGTGTGTATGTATATATACTATAGTGCATGTGTGTGTGTGT